CAAGTCTGACTGCATATACTTTTCTAACCATTTTTTAATCATCGTATATACACATTTCATATCTCATTCCTCAATAGTGAAGAAGAAAAGGATGCACATTCCCTGACTCCAGATCAAGCCTCATCATCATCAGGAGATTGTACTAATACACAATCATGTAGTGGCTGGACTACTAGTACTGAGGTTGGATTCAGACGTGATCTGGCAGCATTAGATGCTGATATTGCAAGACTTCAGATACAATTCAATGTAGCACAAGACTTATATCACTAAGATGACAATCATTGTTATAACGTGAACACTTTTTGAGCAGAGCAACATGAATTATTTAAAATTAACTTTTAACTGAAGAGATATTTCAAAATAGCCAAAAAATTAAAGAAATAAAATTTATTGCAGGACATCTATAAAAATATATTCGACTGAATAATAATTAAAATTTTAATAATAATTAACTAAAATTTATTTAACGATTTTGAAAATTTATCAGCTAGTTCTTCTTGTTGTATGTCACGTATCAGTGCATTTTTGACCCACTCTCCAATGTCTTCTGGAGTGAATATACCAACTTTTCTCATTGACTGACGGCCTCTGTCATCATTTAATGGAGAATGTCTGGTTTGTGTTAAGGAGCAAAATTTGATAAAACACTTTTCTGTTCTTTCAGTGTCACCAATAATTTTCTGTAAAAGTTTTAAGCACATTTCTTGTATTCAGTTGTTACATTATATTACCTGCAATTCATCTTCAAACTGAATTCTCAGTCCTGGAATCTTACTCCTTGGACATTCTGGAATCATGTCTTTCTCACAATTATTTTCATAGAGTCTGTCAGCATGGGTCAGGCAAACAAGAATTGGAGTATCAGCAAAATCTTTTAAAAAAATCTTCATCCAGTCCATAGCAGAGCTAGTATGAAACCTCCTATTAAAACAAAAAAATTCTATGACCACAATTTATGGTCTTCGTTACTTAAGGCTAGAGCCATTGCAAATCATGGTTTCTGATATCTAGAGGCAGTTTAAAATGCTTATATAGGTAATGTACATATAAAAATTATGCATGCTACTAACTCGTATCCACAAACAAAGATAACAATTTGTGCAAGGCCCACAAGTAACTTAGCCAGACCACCAATAGACTCATCTCTATCATCAACTCCAGGGAAGTCAATAACACTTAGTCCCTCAACTGACGAATCCAAATTATATATAAATGGAACTGTAGTACGAGCTGCTTGACTTGTGCCTTGAATAGTCTATGATAAAAATAATATAACAGATAAATAAACTGCCATAATATACCTCAACTTTAAAAACTTTGTTAACAAGAGTTGATTTCCCAGAATTAACAAGTCCAATAACACCAACAGTAGTATAGCTAGCTAAACCTTCTCGCAATTGATGAATGTTTAAGGACCAAATCAACCAGCGAGCTAGAAGAGGACGGTAAGCATGAGGCACAAGAACAAGGCCAGTGTCCTTAAATCGAGTACTCCAGTTACGAATGACAGAGCTAACACTTGTTGAAGTGGAAATTCCCTGCTCTTTGCAAATACTGACCAATTCTCTCTCCAGTGAATAGCTGATGTAATCATTGCTGCATGTGATTGCTCTATTTAGTCCTAACTCTAGTAGAAACTGTAGCTTTGCATCGTAACTTGTTGGTTCAACATCATGTCGTTTTCTGGCAATGTTTTCACTAAATGTACCTTCAATAAACTTAGCAATTTGAATCACAAGTGTTTCATTTTTTCTTGATGACAATATGTATTTAATGTCGCTACTATTAAGAGAAAACAATGCCCACACGCCAATTGCACCTGAATTTTCTGCCATCCTAAGAGCTTTTGCAGTGTCGAGAGGATTATTAACTAAAGGAACTTTAATTTGTTGTTCCATAAAACCCCCTAACATTGTGACACAGGGAGTTAGATATTCATGTACAATTTTGTTAACTTCACCAAGCATGCTACTATTTAGTTCTGCAATACCACCCAGACTTGCCGCCTGATGTGAACTGGAAAGATTTGTAAGGCGTGTTCTGGCATTTTGTAGAACTTGTGATAATGGTGTCAGAGCATCAGAATTTGAAAGAGAAGAAACAGCTTTGGATATTGGATATAATTCACCAATGTTTCTTCCACAAATTAATTTGAAATGAGTTGAAAGATGTGATCTTCTTTGGATTTCGTATAATATTTTTTGAAAACGTTCAAAATAAGAAAACTGACACTCATGAGGCTGTAAAGAAACTGAAAAGCTACTATCATGCACTGCATATGGTATGATGGCACTAGTCTGTGAAGATCTCAGATTTTCATGTATTTTTTCTTGTTCAAAGGAGTAAAGAGGAGACCCAGGAATAGTATAATACGACGGACTTTCTAAACCATAAAAATGGTTATACATTATAGGTTGGTTATACACAGGCCTAGGGATGTGCATGCTTGGTTGTTCATAAAGATATCTTGCCCACCTAGGCTTATTAAATACTTCTCTGGATCCAGAGATCATCATTTTTGAGACAGGAATTGAAGATAAATGAGCAGCATTAACAACAGCTTGAATAATCTTGGCAGAAGAACTTGGACTATCGGCGCAACTAGCTACAGAAAAAATTGCACTTTCCATGGGGACAATAGTAGAGGCTTCCTGTAGAAATTTAATTATTTGCTTGAACCTTTTGGTTGGTCTACCAGAACGAACAGAAGGAGATTGCTCAAGTAGAGCACTGAGGAATGATAATTGTATGATCTGGCTTGGTGTCTGCTTGGCAAGTTGACTTGGACGAAATGAAATTAAATCTGGCTCCTACATAATAAATGCAATTTATGCTTTCAGAGTAACACACCAATATAGTCTTACATTGTAAATTATTGGAACATCACTTTTGAGAGGATTTGAAAATCTGCTATGGACTTTGATTAGACAATTCTTGTTTCTATCTACAGGTAAAAACCTGTCACGATCAAGAAGCTGATTATAACATATCTGTTTCTGAGCAAGGCTCTCAACAGATGTTTTAATTTTAACATGAAAATTAGAAAAATTAACTTCAATATCAGAACAGAACCAAAGATTATCACCATTGATTACAATTGATAGCTCATTTCCACCTGGATGCTTGTGTTGATAAAGTTCAATTTTCAAAATGGATGGCATCAGTGATTTGACAGAGCCAGCTAATGATTTACGGGATGGAATGCAGTACTGCTCTTTATCAAGATAGCCCCGAAGCACATGTTGGTGATACACTTGCATGTCAAATAATTCAGGCTATGCAAATAACATAAAATGCACAAACTAACATTATTATATTATGTACCTTTGGAGCTATACCAAATGGAATATATCTTAAGGTTTCTAAACTTGGTGCTTTAATATATTTCAATCCATTGTGTGTTTGCTGAATCAAGTACACTATTTCCTTATATTTCTCAAGATGATAAAATCTTTCTCCATAGAATGATGTCTAAAATATTAGAAATATACGTAACAATTATAAATGAATAAGAAACATACCTTCAACTCATTGTGTAATAAAAATAAATGAAATGATTTTAAAATATCTGGGGAATCATGAACTCCATTTTCAAGATGTGCAAAAATGTGACTTTCTAAGCCCTGCAATCCAAATAAAATGCAGGTAACATTTTGAACTAAAATCTTAGCACTGAAGTAAGGTAAATTCCAAAGCTGTACTAAAAATGACACAGCTGGCAGAATTCCATGTAAAAATCCTTAAAAAATATCATAATGCTGATTTTTACATTAATAATTGTGCAAACCTGTAAATACTACTCTTTTGTTCATATGCAACAACTCACAAAAATAACGTAATGGAAAATCCACAATACCTATAAAAAATAAAGGATTAATAATATTTTACAATTCAATGTACAACCTCTAAATGCAATGTAGATAATATTTTCTTGAAGAGCAATTAAAATATTCTTATCAATAGATAGAGATGCTTCGTTGAAAGAATGACCAAACTGTGACAAGTGGACTTTCATACTTAAAAAATTGCTAGCTTCAGAAATAACTAAATTACAAAGACTAGCATGGTAAACCACATCAGCAGAAAAAATTGGTGGCACTTCTTCACAAAGATCATCACTAGATAAATTAAACGAATCCTTTGAGTTGGACATCTTTTCATCGTGCTCTTTGTAAAGCTCATCCAGTCTATCATAGCACCAGTCATTGATATCCATTGGAATGAGAGCATTCATTGTAAGGTCATGTAATTGCTTGGTCAATGTGTCCTTAGATAAACCGTCTTCCAATTTCTTTTTGATATGACTTTCAATGCGTGCTTTGATGCGATCAAGAGTTGCTTGAGTATCAAGCCCAGAATCACTGAGATCAGATGCATAAACTTGAAGAGCATTTTCCAACTGCTTTATATGAGGATCAGATGAATAATCAACATCACACTTATCAATGGTGTCTTTCATGGCTATAAAAATGAAGCTATAATAAACTTTATACTTCATATTTGGAAATGTTCCCATATACTACCATTATACTGGTATAGTTTAGTGGTGTGTTAATTTTTGTGCTTACATTAACTCAATCCATGAAATCTAAACCATACTAAATGCCATTCTATTGTATATAGACTATGCCCAAATACCATATCGCACTTTATTTTGGTGGTGCTTTATTTTTATAAAATTGTAATTGGTGGCTTTTAATTTGGCAATTTTTTTATGTACACGTGCATTACTGAGCATGCGTGTTAATGACTGGCGGTTTTAATATTAGTAATTCCACTTGCAAACCGCCAATCACCAAAATAAAACTCTGCCAAATTAAAGCGCTATACGATACTATAATTAACTCAAAAATTTATAAGACTTGGGTGCGAAGCCCCCAGGTCATTCTATAATTGATTTCACCCACATGCGATGTATAATTGTTTGTATGTCCACACTTACATTTCTTCTATACATGTTGTATTGGAGAAATAACAAGCCTTAGCAACCACCCACCCACACTTCTTTACATAAGTGGGTGTGCCCAAACAAAATGGTGGCTTACACACAGGACAAAGTTGAGCTTTCTAGCATAGGTGTAGGCAGGTTCGGGCATATAGGGGCAATGCCTGACCTGACTCTGTGAGCTGGCCTGTAGGCAGGGCAGTGAGGGCAGAAGCTTGGGCAAGGTGGTTGGGCAAGACTGAGTGTGCCACTGTGTGTGAGACTATCAGACTATCATTACCACAGGTGTAATTGGACACTGGAACTATACTGTCAGTCTGTGACTGTCACTTAGCCTGAGGAGTGAGGAAGAAGCTGAGAGCGCCAGAGCTCTAGCAGCAACCATTTTATTAAAGTTATGAATTATGATATCAACTTAATTATTAGTGACACCCAAGTTAATTATTGAAATGGCAAGCAAACATCAATCTTCCATGCTGTTTGACCTATATCTTTTATATATAGAAAGAGACTTGTCTTCCAAGCTCTGGGACTGCTTAAACGAGGTAGTCATCAAGTTTGCTGTCTCTCACAAAACTCCAGTGATCATCCTCCTCATCCTCAGAGTCGAGTTTCCTCCTCATTTTTTGTTAACTGGCTTTTTCAAAGCCACCATATCACGAAAAATTTCTTCTACCTGATTACGATAAAACAATAATAATTGCATGCATGATGCATGTTAGATAGTGCAAAATCTCCATATTTTAGGCGGCAAAAAGGGTGTGGCCAAAATTTTCGGCGCGCTTTGCGCATGCACCCATCATTTTCTCCTTGCCCGACCTTCTTTCCTAGTCTGCCTATGCCCATGCTTTCTAGAACATAAAAATACCGACTAAAGACTTTCCTAGAAGCATTAGAAGGTAGAGGGAACCTCTATAAGTCTTAATAAGTGCCCAGCTATGCATGCAATATGGTGAAATCAATTATAGGAATATTTTTACACTGTTACACTTGTTGAGTACTTTTCTTAGAAAACTTAAACACTCAAAAATGTATACATGTATGTACCAATTATAATTACTACAAGTATTAAGTACTTACAACTTTTTGCTGAAGGAGTAGATGTTTTAATATCCTGTGGCTGTGAATGTACTTCAGAAGCCTCAACATTTTGTTGTAGTGAATCTGGTAGACCACCTGATAATAATTCAAACAATTTCAAGCAATATAAATTTAATTAGCTACCTTCTAAAATAGATTCAGTGCGATGTTTTCCTTTCTTGTCACTTGGAGGCATGCTATGCTTCATTAGCTCTGATGAAAGCAAATTACCACTTTTATCTACAAAATAAATTAATAATAAAATATAAACTCATTCAGTAAATCAAATCATTAGTTTTAGCTTTAAAACAAAGGCACATTTACGTAAGTGGTTGTTTTGTGTATAGCTAGCAGCAAGACTTATGAAGGTACGTCAGAAAAATTATAATGATATTTTTGCTTTAATATGTAGATCACATTTGAAATCATTTCATACTTGGCTAAATTCTTCTAATATAACTTGTACAGAAAATGAATGTATGCATATTGAATGTGGGTGTAAACAACTTTGGGAATATGTTCATCTTTAGGTTGTAATAAAACATTTGTCACCTTTATGATGATACTGAGGATCACTTGTTTGAACTACAGCTTTTCTGCCTGAAAAAAAGTCATTTAAATCCACACAAAATTAATACTTTCATATTGCACGTATTGTTTACTAATGAATTATAAATATTAATATGGTAAAATAAAAGTACAGATGACCAAACTGAAACTCCAACTACATGTACATGTATACTAACATGTATATTATAAATAAAAATAAACTTACCATAATAATCAATCTCAAGAGATTCTACAATAGAATTTAAAGGAATGTACTGCTTTAAGATATTTAAAACTCCTTCAAACTTTTGTACAAGCCTTTTGCTTTTCTTTGGTAGACTAATTACGTAAGCTTCAACAGCATCTACCAAGTCAGAACCATGATGACGCTGAGTAATCCTATTACGAGTAGTCTCATCTATAATACTATTGGAGTAAAGAACACCAGCTACTTCAACAGGATTTATCATTGCTCTCTTGAAATCTGATGAATATCTTTTAAAAAGAGTAGCTTCTTTACTTTCATTGCACTCAGCCATATTAACCTAAATATTAAAAGAAGACCTCAAATATATGTAAAGCTATTAATAAACAAATGATTAATATCAGTGCACATGAAGTTCATACGCTGCATTATCTTGCTGTTAAGGCAAGTTAAGGTTAAATTTTATGAATTCATATTTGTTCTCTATCAGAAACCTCTGTTACTGTCATTCTTCTAAAAATTCGCCATAGTCACTTTGAAAAATAAATTTTGAAAACGAATAATTAGAGTGAACTAAGCCTTTATGGCCAACTAATAATTAATTATGACGAAATAGGAGGTACTAAGAAGCACGTGTGGACAAGATATTGTAAGTCTATCGATGCTTCTTTGTTGCTTGGCTAATAATCTTCACAATCTGAATCTTATTCACTATCAATGAGACAGAACTTAGGCCTAGTTATGGCAATCATTTGTCCGGCGGAGTGCTGCTCGAGGCATCACTGAAAGTTAGACATGCTCTTTGGCCTCTTTCAGCACAGGTCCATGTGTTATAATGCTGTTGAGTGTCGAAATTAGAGGGAAATAGCGAAATCAGAAGAACTTTCAGCATATTTTACAAAACAAATAATTAGAATTAATTTGGAAATGACAGTGCATAAAATTATTTATTTTCAAAATTAGAGGTAAAAAATTTTAGAAGAATCACAGTACTTTGTGCAAATTGCCCCTTGACAAAATTTTCTTTAAAAATAAATGCTGTATAGTTGGAAATATCTGAAATTTGATTTTGCTGTTTGATACTTATCATAAAAACACACAATATAAATCCACAAAGCATTAAAGGGATACGTTCACGGAAGCATGTCATCTTGAAAAAGTGGTCGGTTTTTCAAGATGACACCATTACATGAAGTATTGATAACTATTCATAACATGCGGCCAAGCCCATAAAAATTAAGGCAAAATGGCTACTCAAATGGCTACTTGTATATGTTCCTGGTATTTCTTCACTAAAAGAGTCTTGGGGTGGTAAAAGAGCTAATGCTGGTCAAAAGAAGTGTTCTACAGATGCCTACTCCTGGTTCTATGCCTGATTGCTCTGTCTCTACTCTCTACACGTGTCTTAACACGTGTTATAACTATTAATTAATAACTTTTGCATGCCCAATTTAATGTTTACTTCCTCTACAGTGACATGTGCATCTATTTCTGTGAACGTGTCCCTTTAATAGACTAGTTAATGGGTGCATCAACAGCTTCCACCTATACCAGCAAAGTAAAATTCAGCATACATTAGATTATGCTCCATTAGCACAAAATTGTAAAATATAAGTCCCGCAAACTTTTCCAGCTATATGGTATGGTCTACACTTTTGAGAAAATTAAACCCTCAAATTGTAATCACACACACACACTACAAGTACATGTATAAATCGTAATCTTTATACATAAACACTAATGACAATGATGAGTTGATTATACACGTACAAAATTCACTAACCTCACATACTTTAGTCTCAAATCCAGGTGTCACATGAGATCTTGTAGCAATAGCTATATCTTTGTCCTAAAGAGCAATTTTAACGATGACAAAATATGCTAATTTTTTACACATGCATGTACCACAGTAGTACTTGTGGTAGGAATGGCTTTTTTAATTGATGCAGTCTTTGACTGCATAAATGAAGAACTTGTATCAACTTTCATTTTCTAGAAAATATAAATGCATGTAGTAATTCTCATAATCATACATACTTTTGCAGGCTTTTCTATGGGTTCATCAATCTGTAGGTCTAATGGATAAAAAGTTGTCAAAAAAGAAACTGACATTCTTTCATACATACCATATAAAAAATACATATACATATATACATGCCGTAGGGCGCCTTTTTTTTGAGGGCCATAAATTTTGTGGATTTCTGAAAATTCGCAAAAAATTACTTCACAAAAATCAAATTATCACGGTACAAGATGGCAGACTGCATAAATTCGTGAAAATTAAATCCGCAAATAGATTTTTACACAAATTCACAAAATTTACAGCCCTCAAAAAAGGCACCCTATGGTATAACCTTCCTCACCTACACTGGAATGCAATATTAGGGGTGTGACTGATAATCTGTCTATAGAGGAAATAATTTCAAATAATTCAAAATTCAAGAAGTTTCATTTACTTTGTCTTTCTCTATCAATACCATCAGCTACAGCATTCTCTCTTATTCCTCTAAGGGCAGCTATCAGTGTACCTATTGTTGGATTCTTCACGCTATCAGCTTTACGCAACCAGCTAGCCAAACACTCTGTAAAACAACGATCTACTTCTCCATAATCTTTCTTTATTTTCTCTAGTGTATTTTGAGATATTTTAAGACGTAGGCCAAGTCGATTATACGATGCTTTGCTGTAATTATGCCTCTCTAGTAATGCAATAACTTCGCCAAGATCACCAATATCTAGATAGATTAATAATCACAAACATCATTTTTGTCTGATATCAATTGCACTCCGGTACTTACTTAAAGTTCTTCCATACAAAATAGAAATGGCGCCAAAGCTGGCCATGTTGAAACAGTATCTATTGTTGTCGTCGCCTTGTTTGTTATAAAAGTTATAGTTGTTACTGCTTGCGGTGGGCGACTGGGCGGGATGTAAACACATCACGTGATACAATTGAATTATTATAGCAACGTTCCTTGTTATACATAATAATATGGCAAGTCATAATAATATTAATCATTATGCCATAGCCAGTAGCCACATTCCACCAGCTCTTTCATCCACTCAATAGAAATCTAGACTAAGCCTCTTGCACAGCTAGGTTAAAGACAAAACAATGTGCATGGACTAGGTCAGCCTCCTTGCCAAAGCCCAAGAGGAGAATAATAGCTAGTGAATATTGAATAATAACATTTACTGATATATTGTACATGATGGATACAACAAAGTTATATCAACTTTACTATAATGTCATTAAAAGCAAAAAATAAACAATTAAATGAGACATGTCATTTTCATGAATGCAATGACTGTCTGTAAGATAGAGTTAAGGAAACTGTTCTATTATAGCATATTACATTTACATACATTATGATTAAAGGATACATTTCATTGCCAAGTTTCTCTAACTTTTATAAGAAAAAAAACAAATCATGAACATAGATATGCTTTACTTACTGTTTGTGTCAGTTCATTAAGAGATGCTTCTACTTGATAATCTTTACCTGAACTGAATGATTTTCAAAAGTTAACTCTAACTATTAAACCAAGCCCTGAACTTCTTACTTCTCTTGACTGATTCTCATTTGATCAATTTCAAAATGTCTTAATGTCAAGTCTTCCTGCATCTTACGTATCTTTGTCAACTTTGACAATGTATCAGAATTACCTAAAAGAATAATGGCAAAATATCTACTCTTGATACCGTATACTAGTTTATTTTCACAGTGAAACATTTTCTCGAATTTCGAAGTTTATTGCTCCATCCTGAAATTTTTTCGCCACAAAATTTTGCATATCCATTGCCACGTGGTGCAGTCTGCAAGCCATTCATGAATTATTTCTAAAAAATCTTAGAAATGCAAGATTCACAAAAATAAACCGGTATACGGTAGATCTATACAAATTAATAATTTAGTTTTTATCTATAGCAGAGCAGATTGGGGCTAAATACCGTATAAGTGGTTTTTTTCGAGGGATTTATATTTCACAAAATCTGCTAATATTCCAATTCGTGGATTTTAATTTTAGCAAATTCTACTACGTGGGTACCATATTAAATTTATTTTCACAGATTTTATTTTCGCGAATCCGGAGGGAATCCGCGAAATTTGTAACCCTAGAAAAAAACACTTATACGGTACATTGCTTGCAATTATATTCAATGACATAGTCTCGCCTGCCCCTTCATATACCTACAGGTAAGCGAAGGGGCAGGGCGAGACTATCAATGACAATAAGTAAATCTTAATATTGATATTCTCATTCCTTTTCAGTCAATATTGATCACAAATTTTTTATTGTGCATACCAAAAGCATTGAGCTTTCCTTCCTCAAAATCCTCCAGAAGTTGCTGAAGTGCTTTCTCAGATTCTCTGAGAGACTCTGTCTGTGATCTAC